ACAGATTTCTCTGTACCGTTCGATTCCGTAGAACATCTGCATTCAGAAAAACATAAATTTTGTCGAGCAGTTCAACTTACATGAGGAGATACAACTATTTTCTTCAAGGTATCTCAACTAGCGCAGTCAGGCTATAGCACCACAAGGGCTACCATATTCAAGCTAATGGTACTCTCAGATTCGCTCAGCAACACATAGATTTCTATATACCGTCCGATTCCACAGAACCTCAGGATTTAGAAAAGCACATATTTTGTCGGGCGATTTTGCTTTGTTGAGGAGATATAGCTATTAAAGCTAAATCAAATAGCGCAGTGATACTCATTGATATATTATGCATTGATCGCTCGCTATAGATCAATCTACATGTTACTATGGGAATATCGAAGTTACTATCTTCAGGACCTCCGTCTTCTCAGGGTTACCCAGGAACACATGAATTTCATTAATCATCAGATCCAGCAGAACGTCTACATTCAAAAAACATAATTTTGTTGAGCTTACAGGAGGTGGTACAGCCATTTTCTTCAAGGTATCTCAGCTAGCGCAGTGGTGCGGTAACACCACAAAAGTTACCATATTCAAACTAGCTGTATTTTCAGTTTTGCTCAGCAACCCGCAGTTTCTTTACATATCGACTTCGAGAGGTTCTCTCCTTTCAGAAAATTACGTATGTTGTCGAGCGATTTTGAATGCTTATCTTAGATACAGCTGAATTAGGTTAGATATGTTGTATAGCTAACAAGTAAGTAATTTCATTGTAAGTAATTTCATTATGCCTTAAAACTTTATGCCAGTGTTCTCACGCTTGAATACTCCTTTATCCTCATCAATAGTCTGGCAGGTCGTCATTATCTCCCAACAAAAATTAGCTAGTTTCATGCATAACGTCAGGAGCAAGTTGTAAACTGGTCCGGAAATGGAATTTCTGATGAAAGATGTTAATTTTGAAGTTAATTTTCTGGAATGGAACAATATTTTTAGCATTGAACCTTATTCATCAGTTGAAGAATGTGAGCCTCTCAATGAGCATTTAGAAAGGAAACGAAACATTAGTCTGTTGACCCCCTTTTAAGTTACTCTCTTAACATCTCCAAATTACCCTTCATGTGGTATTTTCTCTCCATATGAGATCACTACATAAAAATGTGGTGTTTTCAATTTTTAACTTTTCATGCGTCAAAGAATAATATATTTACATTCTCTCAAATGATTACAGTTACTGTCGCGTGTATTGGTATTGTCAATTGTGCATCTCATCATGATGCACACTTTCAGACGCTCTCTATGCCCAATTTCTTCCAGTATTCAGACTGAGCACATGATCTGATCTAGCAGTTGTTCTGTACGTATTAAATGCTTCAATCGAAGGAGTAAACATTCGTTATCGCATATGCCTAAATATATGAATATTCACTTCGAAAGTGATACTGACAAACTCACGCAATTATTAAAGAATCTTTATTACGTGTCAAATCAATAACATCACACAGTAATGGAGTAGAACTGAATTTGAAATCATGAAGTGAACCTAAAATTACCAAAAACAAAACGAACGCACCGATAAAAATCATAGGAATTTAAACGAAATATTTGAAAAAGTCAAAATATCAAATTTATACCGTACAATAGAATGCAATAAAACGTGATCTGAACCTGACTGAGCAATCAAATTAACAAATTGATGACAATAATGATGATAAAGACTTAAAGTAATGATAAACCGTAATAAGTAGTCATCACAATGAAAGCAATAAATCAACAACCGATTTACTGCATGATTGTTAACGATCAGTTGGACGATTGAAATACTTTAGTAGGTTCAGCTTTAATTGAATAGCTCAATGTTATGCTCGCATTTGTTCACTTTTGTAACCAATTTTCATTCAGGAGCGTAGTAAATTGCTTTCATCATCTTTTTTTTTTTCAGAAGTTCACTCCAGTTTCATTGAAAATTCACCCAAATTTGAGCGCTCTTTAACTATCGCAAACAACTGATTTATTCATTTACCTATTTTGTTCGTTATTCACTTCTCACTTTTTTGCTTATTAATCAACAAAATCTGCACATCCATTACATTCGTTCCAGTCGGTCCAGTTTGCACATGACAAACACCGTCTTGGAACTTCTTCCAGAAATTGTACGAGTCGTTGTTGCGCAAGAATTCATTCACATCGTCCAATTTCAACTCTGAGCCTTCCTTAGCAATCAGCGCCAAATCCTCACTGGTCAACACCGCACCGGCCGCCTCAGTCGGACCATCCTGACCGTCTGTTCCCGAACTTAGCAACGCGAATTGTCCTTGGAGATGCTGTGCGGTGTTCTTCTCGAGTAACTTTGAGAGTGCCGAAAGGACGATCTGCTGATTGCGACCACCTTGTCCTTCGCCGGTCACCTTAACGGTCGTTTCACCGCCGAACAAAATCGCAATGCGATCTGCAATGTTTTATGGCGACACTTTTTGTATTTTCAGCACTGTTATGATAACGATAGGGAAAATGATCGTGTTATTGTTAGCATTATTACAATTATTATTGTTATCCATATTATCCATATTGTTATCCAATTATTATCCATATTATTATTGCTTTAATCACTGGCACACTGATCTTATCACGATTGTAGTCCTTCTAATGGTTATTATTATTATAGTAATCACTATTATCATCGTTGCTACCCTTCTGCACTTAGCTCTCATTCTATGTTCCTCTCATTTCGCAAGCATTTTTCTCGTTTCATTCTCTATTCCTCCTAACATTCCACTATGAAATAAACTGCAGTGAAACAGCCATAAAATATGGATGGCCATAAAACCATAAAACATGATCACTTCAAAATGAAATGCAAATTAGTAATGTTGTTACTGTTATCACGATTTCCTTCACATAACCAATGTTATCAAAAAAGAAGTAACTGTGAAAATCGAGAACAAATTAAACAATTTTGGAAATTTCAGAAGACAGCTGCAAATGAGAAATGAGCCGTTCGGCTGTCATACCTTCATCTGGGCACTTAATATTGATATTCGCCTGATTCAGACTCTCTAAGGCGCTCTCCGGTTTCACTCCATCCACAAGAATTTGATGGATCAAATCGGCCAGTTGTTCTCCGAAATGAGTGGCATCCTCAGCGATTGTTGTGCTCGCCGTATGGCACAGGAATCGACTCTCTCTCAACGAACTTTGCACACCTTGTATTGCCGTTTGATTGTTGCTGATTATTGTGTTGTTCACATCAACATCCTGAAATCATTCATATCTACCACTCTAAGCATAACTTTTAGTCCAATCACAATTGTAACAGCTCACTATCAGTGAGTATCACCGAATTATTATCACTACAGAAGAAGCTCATAACAAAAATAACGATTTTATTCCTTGCATCTCACCTACATGGAATATACAAACTATTGAAGGAATTAAATTGATTTGTTTTTCACAAAAAAAATTCAATTTTCAAAATGATTCTCTACAGATTACGATCACAGAACAGATCATAGTATTAGATGCGCTGAGTAAACACATGAAAATTGTCAGTTATCTGTTT